TGACGCAGAAGAAAGCAAAGTTGTCACTATCAGTATAATATCGACCTCTTATTTCAAAAACTGTAATTTTATTTATATTCATGGCTAATAAATGGCAATGAATGACAATGTCACTGTGGCAGATTCCAGACTCTCTCCTGTTACTGAGTTCTGGATGTTTCATTTGTTCTCTTTTGCATTTTTCAATAATGTTAAAATCTCGGTTTCTTGCCGTTACTGTTTTATTATAGTATTCAAAAGCCCTACCTATCTAGCCTTGTGAATCCCATCTCTGTTTTCACTCAGACTTTTCTCTTCAGCTGAAAACCTTGTTTGCCTTTGGATAAATCCCAAACTCTAACCTTCCCAGAAAAAGATCCTTTAACATATCAAAACAAACTAGATGTGGTAAATAACTGAGTTTCAATCTTATATCCTCCAATTGTAAGTTCTTAGAGTGCAAGACACTTACATCAACACTGAATTTTACTGTAGAATTGGCAACCAATTGTGTGATTGCTGTTCGATTGTCCCAATATCTTTAATTAGATACAGTAGACATAGCTTCTTAACTACATTTTAAAGTCTTAAATATTTAGTATTGAGGTGTACCATAGGAAAGCTAGTGCTCAATGAATAATTCGGAATGATTACAATTTGTCCCAAATTCCTTAATACACATTTTAGGGTTTTTTTTTTTTTTTGAGACAGGGTCTCACTGTCACCCAGGCTGGAGTGCAGTGACATATCATGGCTCACTGCATTTTGGTACTTCCATTACCGGGAAAAGGGTTCTCCATCCAGACCCTGAAGAGAGCGTTCTTGGCTCTCTTGCAGGAGGGAATTCAGGGTGAGTTGCAGAGTGTAGTGAAAGAAGCAAGTTTATTAGAACTCTGTTGCAGAGCAGGACATCCTCAGAAAGTAGGAGAAACACTCTTTTTTCTTTTTTACGGAATCTAACTCTATTGCCCAGGCTGGAATGCAACCTCTGCCTCCCGAGTTCAAGTAATTCTCCTGCCTTAGCCTCCTGGGTAGCTGGGACTACAGGCGCCCGCCACCACTTCCAGCTAATTTTTGTATTTTTAGTAGAGACTGGATTTCACCATATTGGTCAGGCTGGTCTCAAACTCCTGAACTTGTGATCTGCCCGCCTCGCCGTCCCAAATTTGGGACTACAGGCGTGAGCCACAGTGCCTGGCCAGTTTTTCTTATATAGTAGTCTTACCTATGTAAAAGCTAAGCTAAGCTGTGTCTACATGCGGGAGAGCAGACAACATGACAAAATTTGTTACTCTGTTGACTTAAAGAAGACAATTCTTGATATTTTAGCATGTGAATACATCAAACCATAACTATGATGATCTTGAAGGCATATATTGTTGTGGCTAGTAGGACATTTGGACTTCTTGCTGTTGTAGGAATGAGTCCTTCTAGGTATCTTAAGACTGCTTCCTTAAATGTAAACATCCCATGACTATGGGTCATGACAGGCAAGGAATGTGCCTTGTTAGTCCTAAAATGAAGCCAAAGTTAAAATGGTTTTATTCTAGCTTTCCTAGGCTGCTGCTTCCCTAATGTGCTAACAAACAGTAATTGCGAATTGTCATTCCAGCAAATAACCAAGATAGGAAACAAGTAGACAGAGTGACTATCCTAAAATAGACCTATTCATTAATTTTATTTCATGTCATGCATTCATCGATTTATTCATTAACTCATTGCTCATTCCCCCCGCACCCCCACCCAGACAGAGTCTTGCTCTGTCACACAGGCTGGAGTGCAGTGGGGCGATCTGGGCATACTGCAACCTCGGCCTCCTCAGTTCAAGCAATTCCCCTGCCCCAGCTTTCCGAGTAGCTAGGATTACAAGCGCCCACCACCACACCTGGCTAATGCTTGTATTTTTAGTAGAGACGGGGTTTCACCATGTTGGCCAGGCTGATCTCAAGCTCATGACCTCATGATCCAACTGCCTCAGCCTCCCAAAGTGCTGAGATTACAGTCGTGACCCACTGTGCCTGGCCTGCTCATTCTTTAACAAACATTTAGCAAGTACTATGTGGCCGGCTCCAAACTGTCTACTTTCTTCCTATAGTTTGACAACAGAAAATAATAGTTTTGGAGGTCTAGCACGGTCTTCACCCTTTTTTGTTTTATTTAAAACTGCCCTAACTTGAGTCTTCAGCTCTTCTTAGGGCTCCAGGAAAGGAGGGAGGATAAGAATACCTTATAAAATGTTAATAAGTTCTAGATTGCCAGGATAGTTTATTCATCAAAATCTAACTTGAAAAAATGATGCACTGGACACCTAAGAAGTGTATACTGCTTTTCTCCTAAAAAGGAGGAATATATAGAATATAACTTGTTAGAGAAAATAATGTAACCACTTCAGATACTTGAAAGCCTCAGTCTCAAGAAGTCTCTCTGCACTCTTTACCCACTTGAATTTACTATAGCTATTATCATTTTAGGTTTTTTTTCTCCCAACTTCTACTTCTCTCTAATCATTAAAAAAGGAACTAGTCTTTTACTCAGTAGGCTAAATACCTGAGTATCTCATTTGACTGTCATAACGATGATGCACAAAGACTGACAACAGCAAAACTCAGAATATCGATTGCTTCATTGACAGAGGGAAATATCCCTATTTGGTAGGAAGAATGTCTGCGTTATCTGTCCAGGGCACATTCTTCCCTAGAATTCGGTCCCTGTGAAGCAAATGTAGTACACAGATAGTTGCAGAGCCCAGGAAGATACTGGGTATCTTGAGGAACACTTTATCTCAGCTACAGTGAAGATAGAAGTCTGGTGATACAGCCTTCTCCTGTAAGAATTAACACCTCCCTAGGGACCCTTTTACTCTCCTTCCCGCAATTTGGTGTCTCTGTCCCCAGTGGGAGGAGACACTAGAACTCTAATTTTCCAACTTTCAAAAATTTCTAGCAACAGTGCTTCTGGATTAAGACATACTTTGTTAAACTGATTTGGCTTCAGGCAAATCTTTCTCAGGATTCCTCTTTGAATCTTTCTGATTGTTATCCACCAGGAGTCAAATTCTCAGGGTTCCTGGAACACCACCCACATTCCAATTTTCTTCTGGCAACAGATCTCGAAGACAAGGATAGACAGGCTAGAAATTGGGATTCTTTTTCTCTTGATTATACTTCTCACCCAATTTATATCCAATCCTGTCATTCTTTTCATGAAATGTCTCTCAAATCCTGTCTTCTCATCACCACTGTCAATACCTTATTTCTTGCTCTCTTCACTCTTGCCCTGCCGCAGTGCTTACCATTTTAAGATACAGATCTGAACTTCTTACAGCCCTTTCGCCACTCTCCACTGCCTCCAGAACAAACACAACTCAAGGCTCTTCAAAATATGGCCGCAGCCTGCTTTTCCGGCATTCTCTCTTCCCCTCTTTCCCTCACTCCCCTCAAGTTGCAAAACAGGAAGAGTTCACCTAATGTTTCTCACACCTGGTAGGTAGTTTTGGTTCTCTGAAAACCTTTTCCTGTTTTCTCGCTGGTGAACTTTGATTCATCCTTTAAAGCCCACCGTAACTGTTTTATCCTTGGTGAATCTTTCTAGATGCCTCTTGGGCCAGTGGTTTTCGGGAGAGGGAGGTATATGCGGCTGAGGTACATCACAATCAGCAGAGAGGCTTTTAACATTGCTGAGAGCCACTGTCCCTGCAGGCTTTGGGTTTCTCCTTCATTCACTCTTCAAGCATTTTCACAAATGTAATCGAGTAGTTGTTTGTGTACACTGGTAGACAACGTGCTTCTTGAGAGTAAAGCCCTGGTGTTCTACATCCATAGTTGAATTAATGCATTGGTATCTTTCCCAACCTATGACATTTGAGACACAGTTCAAAAGGATCTAATGACAGAAATAGGGCAAAGTGATTCTAGTATGCTTTTTTAGGTTTTTTTTCTCACTAATGTTCTTCTGATTTTGCCGTACTACAATGTTAGCTAAAACAGCACAGATATCAGGAGTGGCATTGGTAAGACTGACTTTAGACAAAATCCTGAAGTGAGAGGTTGCATTTTGGTTCTCACCATATTATCCGCTCCCCCATGTCCTAATTGTCTAAAGCGTGTTTCCCTTCCTCACTATCAGCCTCCCACCTGAATCTTCCCTTTTTCTCCTTCACACTTATCTTTCTTGTGCCCCTGTCCCTCCATTTTTCCCTTTTGTAAGCCATTTTCATAACGATCCTTCCAAATACTTCTATTGATTGGGCAACCTGTGGGTGGCAGACTGTTCCAGGCCAAGGCAACCCAAGGCGAGCAGGGTGAGCAACCAGTGTCGGGGAACTTATGCATTCTAATTTTCACAGACACAGACAGGAACGCTGACATGCAAAAGCAAAGCAATCCAAAAGCACTTTCATTTTTTTTTCTAGGTAGTAGGAAAGAGTTCCAGATTCCCATCCTTCTGAAACCAAGAGGGAGGTTCCTAAGAGGTGGTTAAGGCAAAATGGAGACTTCTTTTTAAACCACCAGATTTCTCAAATTGCAACACATACATTATCTAGTTCACGCGAAGGACAGGCCTTGGAGACAGGGCAAGGGGAATGTGTTCTACCTGGACGACTGAATCAGAAGTCTCTCCCCCATCAATCGAATGCCTCACTATTTTTCTTTCTGTTTTTTCTTTCTTTTAAAGGTAAATGAATTCCTTCTTTTTCGTTAGGTGAGGTCGGCAGAGACCAAGAAGAGCTGAAACAGAGGCGAGGTTAGTACCCAGCAAAGACCCGTGGCGAGGAGAGACAATGAAGAGGACCGTGGGACCGGACCCTGAGAGAGGCAGAGGAGATGCTGGCTGGCGGGGCCCACAGGCGGACAGCCACGCAGGCAGGCGGAGGGCTCGGCGTGGCCTGGGACCGCTGCAGACCCGGCCTCCGCGCGGGGCCGAGGCGCCTGGGTGGGACCGAGGAGGCGGGCCCTTCCTGGCGGATGGGTGATGGACAGCCTGTCTTTCCAATCGCGTCCTTCAAAGGGCGCGGGCAGGCCAATGAGCGGACAGCGAGGGCCGGAGCGGGGCTGAGGCTAGGGTGCAGAGCTGGCGAGCCACGGTTGGGGCCAGAGTGGGGAGCGCAGCGTGGAGGTGCCACCTAGTGCGGGTGGCGGAGAGATCAGAACCTTCTTCCCCAAGCGGAGCCAACCTCAGCGAGGACCGGGGCTCAGGGACGCTGCGGCGACGACTGCAACGGCTGGACGATGGCAGCGCCCGTCGGAGCCTGGGCGGTGATTGCAGCCCCAGACAGGAGGCGCTGGCCGTGGTCGGTGCTGACTGCGGCTCTCGGGCTCCGTGAGTGATGCCAGGGCTGGGGCCGGGGCGGGGGGTTCCGGGTCCGGCACACGCCTCTCGCGGAGGTCGTAGGTCAGGCGCGCGCGCTGAGCGCGGAGATGGGGAGGGGGTGCGGCCTGCGCTCCTTGGGACCGAGGGAATCCAGCCGGTGGGGAACGCGGGCCCCCGCGACCGACCGGGAAGACTCAGAGTCTCTTTCTTCTCCTTCCTGGATCCCCGAGTGCGGAGGAGGAGGGGAGAGCGCCCTACCTTGCTCCTTCCCGGGGGGCGGTCGGGGTTAGCGGGCCCGGCGGGCGTCTGCAGTGACCCCTCGCGGCGCCCCTTGCCTTCTCCTCAAGGTGATTCTGGATCGTCTGGGCCCTACTGGTTTTTGACTTGGGAACCAGGATTCTGGCGTTCCCCACCTTTGGAAGGTGGTGGAAGGTTGCAGGTTATTCATTTGTAGGGAGGGCCTTTGTTGGTTAATTTCCTGTTAAGCCAGGGTTTTGTGGTACTTGTAAGTTCCCTTTCCTAGGCTCTCATTCAGTGTTAAGTCTCCGTAATAAAAGAGTCCTGGAATCTCATTTGTCTTATTTCCGTGGTCTACAAAACATCAGTTAAAAAATATAGTTACGAGGCCGGGCGCGGTGGCTCACGCCTGTAATCCCAGCACTTTGGGAGGCCGAGGCGGGTGGATCACGAGGTCAAGAGATCGAGACCATCCTGGTCAACATAGTGAAACCCCGTCTCTAC